AGATAGATAGATAGATAGATAGATAGATAGATAGATAGATAGATAGATAGATAGAATAAATCCCTTTCCGTCGTGTCCCCAGATCATGTCAGACACCAGTAACGAGTACCCCAGCCTGGAGTTCGCGGCTGGCAACGTGTTCCTCATCGACAAGCCCATCAGAGGCAGCGCTAAAGTCAAGACCCCCTCCACCTCCTCCTCCAACATCGTGCGTCGCTCGGGCGGCTCCGTCACCACTCGGCAGGAGCTGCACTACCTCCGATGCCGCGACGAGCGTGACGTCAGCCTCCTCCTGCCCATGGCTCAGCCAGGCGAGTTCGTGGAGGTCCTGCCCAACCCATTTGACGCCGGCAAGTTGAGCATGCGCGTAGAGGACATTCTGACCACGCAGAAGTTCCCGGTTTTGGTGCGCTACGTGTATGGCGGTGCTCGACCCAGGCTGACCTCCTTCTCAGGCCTGCTCACTCTTCTGGACTCGTTTGAGGAGTCGTCAGTTGTGGGCTGCGTACTGGACGGGGCTACCTTCACCATGCTGGAGATCCCTACGTCGTCGCCTCTTCTCTTCCAGATCGCGCTCAACAGCAACGATTTGTTCGCGCTGCCCGTGGTCAAGCACGCGCTGCGTGTCTGCGAGACGAACGGCTCGGCCTACTTGAGTGATATGAAGTTCAAGTTTAAGTTTGCTCAGAGGATCCTACAAAGAGGGGCCCGTGAGGACCCGGACGACCCACCCAGTGCCACCAACAGCGCGCGCATGGGAATCACACAGACCTATGTTTATCTGTGAGGTCACGGGGTCACTGTGGCTTACGTATATCTGTGAGATCAGGGATCACTCAGATCTATGTGTATCTGTGAGGTCTGGGGTCACTCAGATCTATGTGTATCTGTGAGGTCAGGGGTCACTCAGATCTATGTGTATCTGTGAGGTCTGGGGTCAACTGTCAGGACAGGGGGCACTCAGACCTATGTATACGTGTGAGGTCAGGGAGCACTCAGATCATCTATGTATAATATCTGTGAGGTCTGGGGTCACTCAGATCTAAGTGTATCTGTGAGGTCAGGGGTCACTCAGACCTATGTATACCTGTAAGGTCAGAGGTCACTCTGGCTAACGTTTATCAGTAAGGTCCTGGGGTAGTTCAGACCTGCGTGTATCTATAAAGTCAGGGGTCAGCTGTCAGGTCAGGGGGCACTCAGACCTATGTCGCACTTGTGTATCTACTAGGTCAGAGGCCACTCAGACTTATGTGTATCTGTGAGGTCAACGTCACTGAAACTTGCGTGTTTTTGAGGTCAGGAGTCACAGGGATTTAGTACTGGGATCTAGATCTCAACACAGCAAGCACGACTCGAACTGGGCGGATACTGTGTCCAACGCTCTGTGCTGTGGTTTCACAAACAAACAAATACATATATATA